AGTAACAAACTGACAAAAAAGAATTTCAAAGCGAATTGAAGACGAAGGAGTAATTAAAACTTTTCTTTATTGCGCGTCGGACTTCCACACTAAATGTCGCGTCATGTTCCACACTAAATGCGCGTCAAGGGGGGAAACAGCAGACTCCAACCCCTTGGAGTCAAGTGGAGTCAGCTGGAGTCAGGGTAGAATCAGGTGGAGTCACAAAGAGTCTCATAAAATTCTTATCTATTTTCTGAAGTCCATTAAAATATTTGATTCCACTATTTTATTTTATTTGTTTGAGTCATGTTTATTATCAAATAAAAGGTTTAGAGACAAATATACACCAACTTTCTCTTATTCGTATTTAGGGCATTCATTTGTTCTAAAACTTCAAAGTAAGCAAAATAGTGTTTATTTTATTGTAAATAAATGTGGAAACCTCGGATTTAGATCCGAGAGCTATGTGTACTTTAGAAAATAATAAAAAACTGGAGAGCCAGGTTAGCAGGAACCACACTATAGGCGTCCCTATCTAGTGACCATTTATTTTACTCTCAGAGTGATACAGTATCTTTAGAAATCACAGAAACTGAGTTCAGATTGGAAAACTGGGTAGGAAGAGTTATTTCAGAATGGATTTGTGCTTGTATCTAGCGGGATTACGGTCATAACTAACCTCATGGATCTATGATAGATACATGATAGACAGAGATATCAGTATTTTCATAATAACTCACCAATATTAATAGCTATCGAGTTCGGATTTTTTCCATTTGATAACCCTTTTTAGTAGTTACAAAATCATGCATCTAAAATCACCAGTCACCTGAAACATATCTAGCACATTGTTCTCGAGATACAGTTTCTGTGTTTTTGAGACATGTTTTAACCCCACTCCCCCGGAATGGACGGCCACCCGCTGTATAAGGCCATGTTCGAACAAAAGTTCAAACGCCCTATTAGAAGGCCATGCACTAATTAATTAATATATTTTTCAAAATAGTGAATTTTTAATAAATATTAATTAATAATTAATGAAAATAACCGATTTTCTAGTGGTTTTTTTTGAAAAATTCTTCCTGGCTGTCATAAATACCACATTTTTTACAAAAAATGTCAGTTTTTTTAGTGAGAAACACCTAAAAACTGATAATTAAAGTTATTAATTAATTATTGATTTTTTAAAAAGTTTTAATTAATAATTGGCCAAAAATTGACCCTCAATAGAAGGCCACCCAAAAAGTAGTAATGTGCCGAGACACTGTATAAGGCCATGGCCTTTTATTCTGGGGGGGAGGGGGTTAGACAACTTTTGGTCAGAAAACTATGATTTGATTCAAAACTAATATCATATTCGGAATCAGCGTTAAAAACTGAGTCGATTCATATATGTTTTAAAAAATTCTGAGAAAAATTTGTTTTGAAAAAAATTCCTGTACTCCCCGTCAGGGATGGTCGGGTCAATAATGACAATTTTTTCGATAACTCAGCTATTTCTTGACGGATTATTCTCATCTTCGAACTCGACCGAGATATTGCTGAGACAATTCTATGTACAAAATTTCAGCACAGTCGGATCTAGTTGTGAAGAGTTATCGTGTAAACGGCCGGACATACTAACCGATTCTAGAGTGTACTCACCTTTTCAGTACACAAAAACATCGTTTTTCTTGAATAAACATTTATTGAATGCTCATGCAGCCTCTACAAAAGTTCAGGTATTTTTTTTACCGGTTTCGTATTTTTTCTATATTTTCGTTAGTCAATCGAGAAAATGGATAGCACCATATTTTTCTAGTACCAATGACTTCATACAAGAGTGGAATCAAGTGAAGTCAGGTGGAGTCAGAGTGGAGTCAAGTGGAGTCATGGAGTCTGCTGTTTCCCCCTTGACAACAACTCTCAAGTTACTCATCGATGGATGTTGATGATCCTCGATTAGGTGAACTCGATGAATTCGATCAAATGATTTATCAATATCAAAAGAAACATTCACAAGCCTTATCCTTGTACATAGTATCCCTCCTTTGTAAATATTGTAAATACTGTACATAGCTTTTAATAGTTTTTTGTAATTTGCTTTTTTCCCTTTTTCTTTTCAATAAAATAGACCTCCATGGTCACAAAAAAATTTCATTGTTTTTTTCTTTCGGCTGCTAAACGGATGGTCAATTATTGGTAGATAGTTAGATATATAGAATACAGCACGATAGATTAACATTAACTCCGAGTTCCGTAAAGTGGTTGATTGAGATAGACGTGACTGATTAGTTGCATCTGACGAAGAGGCACATAACTATCAATGCAATACCCCAGCATCAACCTTGAGCGAGGGTGCCACGACAGTCGGGATAACCATCAAGGGTTAGACATAGTTTTATGTATTACTTTGAATCACAATCTCATTTAATCTGTCTTGTTTAGAGGTATCTATTTATTTCAATTGAAGAATTTTCCTTTTTTTGAATTTTGAGAGACATTGATAGCTTGTTTTGATTTTTATTCAATTTTCTGGAATTTAAATCATTCGAACAGCTATAACAAAGTCTCAACCAACTGAAGAAATCCGTAACGGGACCGTAAGCGGTCTTGGGATTGCTAGACTCTCTCAAGTTCAAAACTAATATTCAGTCTTTTTCTTTCGGCTGCAAAATGGATGATCACTTGTCGATAGAGAGCATACAGGACGATAGATTAAGATTGACTCTGAACTAGGAAAAATGAATGAGATAGACTTAACTTACTACTGTCATATCAGGAATGATTAAATCAGCAAAGAACTACTCTGATAATCTATACAATACCACACATCGATCTCAAGTGAGGGTGTCACGAAAGCCAGGACGAAAATCATCAATCAAGCTTTTCACATTCACGAGAAGTTGTGTCATATATTAGTTATAATCCGAGAATATTCTGCTCGAATGTTAAACTTCATTTGACTTGTAACTACACAATGACGACATCTAGAAGCCTGCAAACAGCTGACATCTACCGGATAAAAAGTAAAGATGTCACGACCATACAGAGTCGGAAGTATCTCAACACAGATGTCACTGCCAAACAGTCAATCCAAGATGATCACAAAGATGTCAGTAAGATACGATGTTCGCTAACGCTCACCGCATTGTTTCTCAGTGGCCAACTATCACTATATAAAGACCGCATGAACTGAATTCGATGTGGTCATTGGACACAGAGTCAGCGCTAATGTGTTTGCTCAGAAAGCGTACCTGATGATGATCCCTAAAGCAAGGATCGAAACGCGTCGTACGTAGCTTGGAATCATTCTTGTATAACTCACCCTCTCTTTTGACTATTATAAAGATCTCATTAGGTTTAGCTAATCATGTAGCTATAGATTCTATACATACATGACGATGAATAGATTAACCCCCCTTTGAAACGCGTCGTATGATTTCGCTTTGAATCTACTCTGTAAATCTCACCCTCACACTCTCAAGATATTGGTTTATTACGTTTGAATTCTCGAACTTCTTCAGCTTTTTGGAGAGTTTGAGATTCTTGTAATAGATTGTAAACATACCTAACGACGACAGCCTAAGCAACTGTCGAAACGCGTCGTGTGATCGCTTTCAATCACAATAACACTTGTTCTTCTTCTTTGAAACTGGAATCGAAATTCCGGACTTGTGGTAGTTTATTTTGTTGAACTCACACTCTCAACTTATCTTATGTGATCATCAATTTATACAGGTACTTTTCACTGGATGTTCTTTCCAGTCACAGTGGAATTTTATTTTATCAAAAATCGGTTTACAATCTCTATTTTTCAATGTTCACGCTTAAAATTCCTTTCCTCGTTACTAATCATCACTTTTCTTATGCCATAAAAAACACCGTTCCGTGTTTTTACTTGAATGTAATTCTTCGAATCTTCATGCTTGATAATATTTTCCCATTTTTCATACGAACCAACATGTGTATCACCTATTCCTTTGAAAGAAATTTTCATGTTTTTTTTCGCGTTATTCCATTGGAATATATATCGTGATACACCTGGACTCATATATTCATGCGGACGAATGTTCGACTGTTTTTGATAGGGAACATCAATTGTAAAAATTCCTTCGAGTTCTCCTTTGAGTGCATGCAAACGTTAAAGTGCTGGTATAGAGTTAGCTGATGGTTTAACTGCACCCGACAATGTTTCATTTAATTTATATTGCAAATTATTTTTCTTAATAAGATTTTGCAAGAGATCAATTTTTTCTGCAAAATCATTTAATACATGAGTAGGCTGATCACCTAAATTGTGATTTGGTGATAATGTTATATGATAATTACTTAATTTTTTCTCTATATTACTCATCATAATTTTATGATGGCTTTTGTTACCATTTCCACCAAAAACACTTTGTGATATGTAATAACGATGATAACCATTTTCAACTATATTTCGTATGTAAATATCCTTTTCAATAGTTTGAACAATCTTTAATCGAATACTATTTATATTAATAGAATCTTGATTAGTTTCTGCTGCTTTTGTAATAGCATGTATCAAACAATTGTTATCGTTTTGATCAATTTGATTTTCATTTGTCTGTCCTGATGCAACAAAATGACCGAATGTATCTTCTCCATCACCAGGAATAAAATCAATTGAAATACAATTTTCATTATGAATATCATCGATAGTTTTTCCTTGTGGAAAAATTAAATTCGGATGGCTTTGACCATTAACATTATTTATTCGAATCGGTTTGCCATAGATATGTGCCATTGCTTGAATACAAATCATATCCATTGGACCACCTTCGGCAATGATACTTGCAATTAATTTCGGATTTTTTGTTTTAGCCATGAGAATTAATAGATTCTGATGATATTTATTTGTTATTCTATCTAAAATTTCATTTTGATTGATATGTTGTTCTGAATTTTCGGCAAGAGATTCTCGTTGTTTTTCATATGCCTTTTTATTCGATTGAAATTTTTTGAAAAGTGCTTCATCTTTTCGACGTTGGTGAAGTCTCTGTATATTTTGTCCTAATCTTCTCAATAGATAATTCGTACTTTCAGATAAAATTGGTTCGATTAATTTTGTTCGAACATCTGTATCAATTATATTTTCTATTTCTTGACTTCATTGTTCAGTTGTCTGTTTAATAAGATTATTCAAATGATCTTCATTGATATCTACTCGTTCGTTTTGACATTCACTAGCTCTGTCTTTTAAGCTTTCATTTTATCATCAAGAAATTTTTTTGTTGTACGATCAATCTCAATCATAGTTTTAATGTATGGAGTAGTTTTCAGAATCGGAGCAAGTATACTCGTCAATAATGTAAATATTTTTGTTGAATTATTCGACGTATTAGCATAATTATTTTTCTTCAAAGCATTACTAATCCCATTGGATACAATTCGAGCAATAGTTTTGCAATATTCCAGTGCTTGGTGATACCATAGCTTGGCATTATGTGATTGACTAATATCTTCTAAGAATTTTCGTGTCAAATCTAATCCATGCATCCGACTAATTTGTTGGATGAGTTGATGAATATCTTGTTTTTTCTGTTCGATTGATTGTCTTATGTTAATAAATAATTGATCAATAATTCGACCACAATGATGTTTTAAAATTTTCTCTGAGAGATACGATATTCCCGCATTGGTTGCTGCAAATGCTAAACCTTCAACTACTTTGTTTCCAATACGACACCAAACTTGTTTATGAATGTTAATTGTCACATTTTCCATACTATTCTGACCGACTTGTTTTAATAAACTCTTGCCAGTAAGTCGAGATAAATATTGATTATTACCGAAAATTTTCGATCCAAAACGAGAATATCGAACACCAGGCGAAATAACTGCTGATACACCTAATGTTGCAACTGTAATCGATATACTTCGTATTTTATTTACGAAATAATCATTCCAGTTGAAATAACCATTTTTCAAAGCTAAACCTGCATAAATTATATCATTCAAACCTTCAGATATTAAACCAGTTGCTATATGTGTACCTAAACCAGCTGTATACAATTCAAGATAAACGCCTACGATTATTTCAAGACAACCAAATAGAAGTATAGTTCCACTACTTAACCACGTATTCCAAGTCCATTTTTTCTCTTTAATATTCATAAGATGATCTAAACCATTGATTCGAAATATATCGAATTCTTGAATATATTCAAATTGTTCATTGCTATTGAAATTTTCTTTGAAATCATTTAAATGAGAATTTGCTTTGGATAAATAATGTAATTTTCCAATTGTATTTTCCAATGATTTGGCAACACTTTTTGCAATCTCTTTATCTTTATCAATATGACATATTTGTTTAATTAATTTTTCTAATTTTTCTGAATAATCTTTTGTTAAAATGCTGTCAAACAACGAAACATCAATGCAACTAGCATTATAATAAACTGGTTTGATAATGAATGCTGTTTCTAAATCATATAAAAGATTTTTATGTAAATCATGTGATAATGTTAAATTATTCGTAGAATTTTCTTGAGAATCAATTTGATTTAATAGATCAAGAATTTGACTTTGATATAAACATTGATATTTAAGAATTGCTATTATATGTTGATTATAAATTTCATATTTCGAAAATTGTATTGTTTGTAAATTATTTGTAAGAAGTTTTCCTATTTGTTGATCGATCAGATTTTGTTCAGCAAGTTGATTGTAGATTTCATTTGATTCCATTCGATTTAAACCTTTGATTTGCATGAAATCATTTGATGAAATTGATTGAAATTTTTCTATTGATACTCGTCGAAGTTGATCAATATTAATTTTTGCAATTTTACTTAATAGAATAAAATTTTGTTCTTCTAATATTTGATATTGTTTATCGAGAGGTCCTTTCAAATATTGAACATTTTCTGCACTAAATTTCATATTATGAAAAAATAGAATTGATTCATTGTTTGATAACAATTGCTCAATGGATTGAAATTGATTTTGATTTAAACGAATAAATTCTTGGAATTTATCATTTGTTTCTTCATTGATTTGATTTCGATTAACAATAATCAGATCTCTGACATCTCGAATGATTTGTTTTTCAATCATTAATTGTCAAAACTGATCACGATTTGGCATTTGAACATGATCAAGATATTGTTTCAAATTCATTTCATCAACATATTTGATTTGTGATAGATATCGTTGAAATCCATCGTAATTTAATTGATAATCCATACAAATCTTTTTCAATTGATTTTCATTAAAATTTCTATTGAATTGTTTTCGAATGAAAATATTTTCATCAGAAATAAGCATTTGTTTATAAATTGACATGGCTAATTTTTCATCGATATCGATATTTACAAATGTATTCGATGTTATTGAATGACCACGTATATCATGAATCGAACGAATAAAACACGAATATAAATTACAAAGATTTTTATTTTGTTTTCGATAAGAATCAATTTTAAGAAATGATTGATTTAATAAATTAAGATTAGTTAAAATTGAATTATGTGCTATTAACATATCAATATGATAGTTGAATAGATATTCAGCATGATCTAATAAACGATGAAATTCAATTTTCTCTTTAGTTTTTACTAATTGTGTCTGTTTAATAAGACAATGTGCTTTGTAATAATAAGCTGCATGACTAAACATTGGTTCATTATTAATAACTGTTTGTAAAAGTTGACATGCTTTGTCATAATTTTTATCTTTAATAAAACATTTACTTAATTTTATTAATTGATTTGGTTCAATAACCAGTTGATCGATTAATTCATCGAAATTATGAATTTGTTCGAATTGATGACAAAGATTTTCTAATGATTGAAAGATTTCAAGTTTAGCATTCATTTGAAAATCAATATTATCTGACCAAAAAGCCCATTGATTTAATAATGAACTCAATACAATATCTTTCTTTTCGACATTAATTTTCCATCGTTTATCGATTTTTTCTTTTAATCTACTAAATGCTTGATAGTATCGTTCAAATAGATTTTCTTCGAATTGAATTTTTCTTTGATAATATTGAAGAACTTCTCCAATACGATGCATTTCATTAAAATCTCTTTCATTTTTTAAATAAATTACTTCTAATAATGACTTATTGGAATATTCCAAATTGGATTGATCAACAATTATTAGTTGTCCCGAACCATATTGACCTTGACGAGCTGTTCTACCGAATGCTTGTTGTTCGATACGATAGTTTTTCGGTAGATAATTTAATATGACATGTAAACCACCATTTTGATGTAATTCTTTACTGATTTTAATATCAGAACCTCGTCCAGCTAAATTCGTTGTAGGTACTGACTCCAATGTAGGTACTGTACAACGAATATATATATATAGTGCAGAAGACAAAATGAGAGTAAAGGTAATATTAAGGATTAGAGAGAGAGATATTGAACACAGAAAGAGAGAGTGACGTAATATACACACAATGAGAGACGATATGTAATGACCATTGACCAAAACTTTTACAATCTAGATTACGGTGTAAATATGAAAAATGCGAGTTGAAAATGTAATGGACATGTTCTAAAGGTGAACTATATTCATATATTCAACCACAACATAACTATTTTGTAGCTTTTCATACTAAACAATAATTTAGAAAAAATAAATTTAATTGTATGACAATGAGTACTCAATATAATTGCTAATAAAAACATGTTTGCTATAAAATAACAACCTAAATGTAAAAGAGTCGTTAAACTAGAGTCGTTGTACGATGTCGTTCTCTCTATTTTGTTTAGATATTTCTATAATAGTTATATATGTTTTCTCTCAGCTGTTCGAAACACCAAACTTTTAGCTGCATGTTGAAGAAGATTTTCAGAAATAAGAAGTTCTACATTTTACAATATAAAACTGAAAATTTGAGTTTTTCACTGGTGACACTAAGAATACATGGATTACACTCAGTTTTTGATGCTCTTTGGTATTTCTAAGAATTAACTGAAGTCTGCTGTTGGAGCAAAAATCCGGATCATCCTATATTTTTTAACAAAAAGTAGTTACAGTTTCTTTGAGTAGTTACAGTTTCTTCTTAAATGTTTTGTTCACTTAGAAAAATATACGCGAACGAAATTCTAACTACATATTTGGGCAGAGCACATTCAAATGCATATATGTCCACATAATTGCTTTAGTTTCCAAATGAAAAGAAGATACAGTATCAAATAGATTTTATAGTTTTCACGGCATTGTATGTCAAAAAAATTTATATAACATTTAGATTAGCGTATAATTCTTTTTTCATTAGTATAAATACTGAAAAGATTACAATTAATGTTTGTTTAATTTTGGATATCAAAAGTTTTGCTGAATTGCACTGATATGTTGCAGATTGTTTATTAAGCATATATAAGTAAAAAGTACACCCAGTATTACTGGGTGTACTTTACTGTACATTACTGGGCCAGTAATGACCACGGCAGTACAACAGATATTTTCTTTCTTCCACTTCAAATGGTGATGTCTTTCTTAAACAATTTCTTATGGTAGACTGATGTGTGACCGTAGACTGATATGTGACCGTAGACTGAGGCATTCTATTGTTTTCTTCAACGAGATTAAGCATATGCCCTAGTCTTATTCCACCTTGTATCAGTCTAGATTCTACTATTGGCCAGTTTTTATTGAAATAATTTAATCCAAGAGTAAAATTCCATGAACTGTTCATTAAACTCCCATCTTCAGCGATGTTAACGGTTCCACATACTAGATCGCTGCTTTCCTGAGCCCATGAGGCTGAACAAGCTGAAAATTGTGTTTGAATAGGACAGACTAACCATTGAGTGATGATATTAGCATATGTGGAGTTCACTTTTGTCATCAAATACTCAAAATAATCTTCAGCACTTCTATTAAAGTCTGTGTTGACCCGTCTGTTGATTATACCACTATCCCATAATGAATGTAAGTTAGTTGCCACATTAAAAAACCGCCCTAAAAACGCATGGGAGAACAGATGTAGAAATCAAAGATTTTGATGTTTTCTTACCTCTGACACTGTTACCTCCTCGATCAGATATAAATCCAGCGTGTAATGGTTGGTGAACATCACCTACATGATGAACTAAGAATTGCAAAGCTTCTTGCCTTTGAACATGATCGAAACCAGTATCAGCCAATCTTCTGGTATAGTTTTGTATTGCACCATCAATACACTTGTTTTCCACACAATCTCTGTCTGGGATATACTCACAAACACCATCTGGTGTATTGATGTAATGATGTTCACGTGACCAGTCCCAGTTAAGATAACCAACAGGATTTGTATCAGGATATAGTATATTGTCAGCCCATGATGACAGCATACTCATATTACCCTGAACATACCATGGTAAAAGATCTTTAACGAATCGTCTGGACTCATTGGTCATAACTGTCATGGCTATTTGAGATACAAGCGAATGACCAATCGCGCCCCATGCAATTGAACTAGTAACTACAATTTCGAATAATAAAAACAGATTAAAGAAGATCATTTTTGTGACTTATTTAACGGTTAATAAAAACAGTAATAAAACACAAGAAATTTCATGAAAGTGAGAGAAAAAGAAAAGATAAGGCAAATACCAATAAAGGTAATAATAATTCACTTAAGAAGTATGTTGAAACAAAGAATTAACAATAGTGTCTTATCAGTATATGTTTAAAATAATCTTTGAATACATTGTTAAATAATACGTAGTTTAAATCTTCTCGGTTATATTGGAGGTGTGCAATATGACCCGGACTCGTATGGATACAACACTTTTAACAGCTTACTATACAAAAACACAACTTTTCTCACATAAACAACTATTTTATTTCATCTTATTCAGACAGGCTATCTGTCCAGAATACATGCTCAAAAACCTTAGGGTTTATAATAAAAACACAAAGAAGCTAAGATGCGTTTATTAATTATAAAACTGTTTCTAAACATTCTTATAGTGAGCATATGAGTGAATTGCAAGCCATTTGTACCGTTTGCACGGAAAAAATGGTCTCGTATGGTCCTCCTGCAGTTGTTAATCAAACTGACGTTTCCTAGTACGTAATATTGAAAACAGTCGGATTTCTTTTCTGTAGAGAATGAATAGTGCAAAAAGGCTTGACGATTTCTATAGGGTATATTACCCATACCCATGGCTAGTTCGTCCACTAAGATTGGCCTAACAACTGCTAGAGATTTCGAGATTTTTAAAAAATAATGTCAGTTTTTCATCAAAATTTCAAGTGGCCACGTCGACCAGTGATAACTGAAATCGACATGAGTCTTTTGAAGAAGCATCTTTGCAAATTATTCTTTCACCAGTTCGTAGCCCACAACTTGGGCTTCAAAACTGTGTAATTTGATAAAATGAGTTCTCTTTTCTAACTTGAAGAAATTTCAAGATACTGTGTGAACACGAAAAGAGCAAAAAATGTCGCGTCATGCTTTGTTGTCCTCGTTCTCAATAAAAATAATTCCCAATCTTTATTAGCTTTTGCCATAATACAGCCCGTTGGTACAGTAACAAACTGACAAAAAAGAATTTCAAAGCGAATTGAAGACGAAGGAGTAATTAAAACTTTTCTTTATTGCGCGTCGGACTTCCACACTAAATGTCGCGTCATGCTTAAAAATTGTTTTTGCTGCCACTTCAGTTTTGAAGCTTTTTTTACTTCCGGACATTAGATGCATCAATATACAGATGATTACATATAAGAAATTTTTTCTTTTGCGAGCTTTCGCTCTCTCCGAGAGCATCAGCAGGCAAATTCTTATTTAAAATTCATTATTATTTACTACCCCTATAAGGCTTCGTTCATAAATTATGAGTCAACCTTTAATTCTACTGTGTTTTTTTTTATCCAATCCAATACTGTTCCATACTGTCACCATATTACTATTTCAATGAGATCTTATTGAAAGCCCAATGTTGAAATTTCTTCGTTAATAATGCCTCTTTAATTTCAGTTTTTTTAATTTATTTCAAATGATAATATTGATGGTTCATTAAAATTCAATGAATAATT